TCTTCCCCAAAAGCAAATACTAAAGGATGCCATCCTCTGGAATCCTAATGGCAGGCAAAGGGAGAGAGGAAGGGTGACGGCTTCTGGCACTTAGAGAACAAAAAGAACAAAAAAAGAGAAACCCCCAAGCCTGGAACCCAGAGAGGTCTTTACTGCTGGGATCCACGGAAAACATGTCTGTCCCAGCCAAGATCATATGACGAGTTTAGCACGGAGGCTGAGAGTGACCTGGCATAGATGGTTTGCCAGTTAGAGTGTCTCAATTTGAGCCTTTGCTTTTGGTGGATAACTCAGCTCCCCTCTTGTAACCTGGAAAGTTGGTTGCCTTTATCATCCTGCTGGGTTTGTCTATGGACTGAACACCCGACAGCGGTGCGCTATGCTCTCTGTGACATCTTTCATTCTCATTTTATATTGTGCTATAAAAAGGATTGTTTCTCCATATATATAAGTGTATATATATAATATATATATTATATGTGTGTATATATATTATATATATATATATGCTCTCCCCTTTCAGCCTCTTTGTCACAGGCAAGAAGTGTAGTAGGTTGCCTTGGGCCCTGCCTCTCTCCTAACTCCCTCTTCCCCACTGGGCACCCTCAGCCCCTATATTTTAATTCTTGATCATGTAGAAATTGTTTTTGGTAAATGTTGATATTATTGTTATTATCATTATTAATAAAAAGGAATTTTTGTTTAAATGAGAAATGTTTAACCAGATTCTGTTCTATTTGAATTGTGACTTGCACCTTTTGTTCAAAGTATTTCCTTTAGGCATTGTAATTGTGAACAGCTCTTTTACTTGTGCCAGTGACAGATGCAGTGGTCTCCTTTCCCCAGCTGAAGCAGTGCATACGCAATAGCTATTGTTTGTGTTATCTTTATTTCTCTTCATTGTTAGAAACCAAAGTCTTCTCTGCTGGCTGGGCTGAGAGAGGGTCTGGGTTATCTCCCTCTGATCTTCAAAACAAGAGAGAGACCTTGAATACTCTGACTCTCCACCCTTGTTTTTTCTGGGAAAGCAGAACAAGAGGTCCTGAGTCCCCTCCTAGTCTTTCATCCTGAATTTGCACAGAGGAAAGCGGGTGCCCGGCATGGCCATCCTGATGTTGCTGGCAGGATCTCCATGCACCTTGTCCTTCTCCACTGATACTGGCAGCTCGGCTCCTGGACCCAATATCCCTTGAGTGGAATTCTGCAGTGCAAGAGCCCTTCCTGGGAGCTGTCCCATGTTTCCATGGTCCCAGTCTCCCCCCCACTTGGTGGGGTCACCAACTACTCACCAGAAGGGGGCTTACCAAGAAAGCCCTAAAAGCTGTTGACTTATCTGCGCTTGTTCCAGCTCTTATGCCCCCAACCTGCCCTACCACCACCACGTGCTCAGCCTGATCTGTTTACATGGTACTGTATGTATGGGAGAGCAGACTGCACCCTCCAGCAACACCAGAAGAAAGCCAGTGAGCCTACTAACCGTGCCATCTTGCAAACTACACTTTAAAAAAAAAAAACAACTCATTGCTTTGTATTGTAGTAACCAATATGCGCAGTATATGTTGAATGTATATGAACATACTTTCCTATTTCTGTTCTTTGAAAACGTCAGAAGTATTTTTTTTCTTTCTCATTTTATGTTGAACTAAAAAGGATTAAAAAAAAATCTGCAGACTCAAGTTGCTAAGACCTTTTGTCCTTCCTTTTGTCCTTTTGTGAGGCACTTTCTTACAACTTGGTTACTTAGTTGGACAGTAGGAGGTTGTGTAGATAGAAGCCTGATTGTGTTCTTAGGCTGATCGATTATTTGCCTGTGGTTTGGAGTCTAGTTAGGAGAAGCCTCAGGTAAGTGGGAGCTGGAGCAGTGGAGGCTGGAGAGGTCTGCCAGGCTTAGGGTGGGGCTTTGAGTGATTCATGATCTCATCTCACCCTTATGAAACTCACATTCTCTAGAAGCCTGAACTCTGCTTCACACTGTGTCCCTGGGCACCCAGCTCAGACTCTGCCCCATCAGAAGGGAGCATTTGAATTTGCCGGGCCAGGTGGAAAACAGCTTCCTTGAAAGGGCACTTTTGAAGAGTATAGGGAAGGATCCTCAAAGAGTGGACACAGGCTGGACCCTTCATGACGTGACCTCCATTGGCCGAATGAAAGGACAGCCAAATAAGTATTTGGAAAGAAAGGGAGGGGCCAGGCGTGGCTCACGCCTGTAAATCCAGTACTTTTGGAGGCCGAGGCGGGTGGATCACCCGAGGTCAGGAGTTCGAGACCAGCCTGGCCAATGTGGCGAAATCCCGTCTTTACTAAAAATACAAAAATTAGCCAGGTGTAGTGGCGGGCACTGGTAGTCCCAGCTACTCGGGATGCTGAGGCAGAAGAATGGCTTGAACCCAGGAGGCAGAGGTTGCTGCAGCAAGCCAAGATTGCACCACTACACTCCAGCCTGGGTGACAGCAGGATACTCCATCTCAAAAAAAAAAAAAAAAGGCAGGGCAGGGGTGGGATTTTCCTATAGTTTTCCCCTTTATCCATACGTGAACTTCCAAGGGCAGGATAGAGTTTCCAGCAAGTTTCCAGGCATGGCTAAGAGACAGGTGGTTGAAGGCTTCTATGAAGAAAGCTTACTGAAGCTGGAAACACCATCTGAGTTCACAGAAGGAAGAATGAGAGGTGGGAATTTAGAAAGCCTTCCAAACTGGGCATGGTGTCACACGCCTGTAACCCCAGCTGCTCAGGAGACTGAGGCAGGAGAATGACGTAAGCCCAGGAGTTCGAGTCCAGCCTGGGCAACATAGCAAGACCTCACCTCTATAAAAAATAAACTTAACCAGGCTTAGTGGCAGATGCTTGTAGTCCCAGCTGCTCAGGAGGCTGAGACTGAAGGATCATGTGAGCCCAGGAGTTTGAGGCTGCAGTGAGCCATGATCGCACCACTGCATTCCTGGAAAGAAAAGAAAGACTACAAGTCTGTGGAGGGGCTAGAAAGTTGCTGTAGGGCCATTTAGAGAAGAAAACAGCCTTCTCAAGAAGGGTCTTCTAAAACTCCTGAGTCTGTGTATGCTCTCAGGGAGGACTAGGTGAGTCTCTAGAACCAAACAGTGATAATACCCAGATCCCTTCCAGCAAATTGTAGCACCTGTTGTAATAGATGCCACTCCCTCCTAAAATCAGCCAGGGTGCCTTTGGACCAGAGGGAGGGTGAGCTTTTGGAGGAAGCAGGGCACTGGCTCCTGGATACAGACTGGAGAGCTCAGCTCCAGAAAACAGGAGCCGTGCTGACAGAAAACCATGTAGAGCATGATTTTCTTTCTGACTTTGTGCCAGCCTCACCCCACACCAACTGCAAAGATCAAGAATTCACAGGGCTACTGTGCTTCCCTCCTGCTGATCAAAGATGAGCTCTGTCCTGGCCTTAGTCTTTTCTAAGCAGGAGGGCAGGAGAGAATCTTGCAGAGTTGGCTGCAGTGCCCCACCCACGGGTCTAACTTGGGGCTGCAGCAAAATTGCCAAATAGTGGGGGTGGGGGTCCTGTCTCCCCTGCTCAGTCGGCACCTCCCCTCCCTAACTCTCATTCTGGCTGACACCACATGCTCCCAGAAGAAATGTTCTGAGCAGGGGCTGGTATGAGACTGCCTCCCCTCCCAGGACCCACTCCTCCCTATGACCAGGCTGGTGACCCTCCCTTTAGCGTGCCAGTGCCATTCACTGAGCAAATAGGTGCCAGACCTAGCAGGGGACAGAGTCCTCCCGATACAGATGGACCAGTATGCTGGGACATAAATTGTGAAAGGAGTTGCTAATCTTTCTGTGCAAAATCCACTCCTGCAGTCACTGCCAACACTTCCGCACATGTCAGGGCATCCAGGGCCAAGACTTGGTAACCCTGTTCAGGAGCAGTCGCTCTGGAGGCTCCCAAGATGAGGGAGAGAAGTGGGTGGAAACAGAGGCCTACTTTGTGGGCCCCACAGCCACTGAACAGTCCAACCCATGGCCACTGAGCGCCTTGAACAATGCCTGGCTGGACCCTGAGTCTGAGTGTGTCATCAACCCAGTTTGTTGTTGTGAGTTTTTCCATCAGCTCTGTCCAGAAAGACTTCCTTCCTTTCCAAAACATTAGTAAAGGGGCCTTGGACGAGTTTAAGCCAAATACCTTGCAATAAAATGGAGTAGCCACCCTGGTGAATAAGTATATTTAAAAAAGGAAACTGCCTGCTTGGTAAGATGCTGCTCAACAGCACCCCCTATCCTGACGCCTTGCAGTCCCAGAGCCAGGAAACTGAGAAGTCCCTGATCAGACTGCAAAGGCTGCAGGCTCCGCAGGGTGCAAGGCCACCCTCAAAAAACTAGAAGCCAGGCCTCCCGATTCCCACCCCTGCCAGGGCTACATAGCTAACAGCTGAAGGATGCAGGGCAGCTCTGAGCTGCAGTTTTCCCACCGGCAAAAATCACAAGGGTAAGATCTGGCCTCCAGCCTTATAGGGACATTCTAAGTTGTGAAAGTGCTTTGGCCACTAAAGAACTGTGCAAATGTTAAATACTAGGTTTAGCCATAACAATCTTTTTAGTAACAAACCAAAGAGAAGGGTCAAACACTGGCAAGTATCTTGGAGTCCAACCAGGAAGCTTTTGAGGTTCCCCCATGCGCTGACTGGGGCAAACTCTACCCTCCAAAAGAAAAGATGCTCTCTTGGCCCGAGACACCTGTGAGCTGTCCCAGCAGGGGACCAGCCACCTTCCCAATTTCTAAAGCTACAGACAGCTGGGATGTCCAAGTAGGCAGTCCAGGCTGACGGCTCACCAAGGCCACCTCCCTGTCTACACAGTCCCACAGACATCTGGGACCCCTTCAGTCCTGGGAAAGACCCATATCTCAGCAACTGCAAGTTAAGGTCAAGCAGAGAAATGTGGGATTGCTGCCTTCATGCCTGCTGCGGAAGCTGAGGTCTCAGGTCTGATACAGCAAGTGTAGTGGGAATAAGGGAATACAATACCAGAAACTGGGATTCCAGAAAACACAATAGTTACTGTTTACTAAGTGCGAGGTACCTTTCTAACAGTTTTGCATATATGTTCAAATTTCATACTTAAAATGATACAAATTTATTACCTTACAGTTAGGGAGGACAGAAGTCCAAAGTGGGTCACACTGGGCTAAAATCATGGTGCCAGCAGAGCTGTGCTCCTTCTGGAGGCTACAGGGGAAAATCCTTTGCCTTCTCCAGCTTCTAGGGAAGGGCTGGCCATGCCCCTCAGCTCATGGCCCCCTTCCAGCAGTCACATGAGCCTGACCTCCGCTGCCACCCTCACATCTCCTTCTCTGACTCTGAGGCCCCGCCTCCCTCTTGTATAACTAAGGACCCCTGTGATGACAATGGGCCCACCTGGAGAATCCAGGCCAACCACCCCATCTCCAGGTCCTTAATCACACTGGCAAAATCTTTTTTTGCCATGGAAGGTAGCAAAGCCACAGGTTCCAGGGATGAGTATGTGGACATCTTTGGGGAGCATTATTCTGCTTGCCACACAGTAACCCCTGCCGTAACTCTGGGCGATGGCATGTTCTATCACTATCTTCAATCAGAAACTGATGTGTGGGGAGGTGACGCATCATAACTCATCCAGGGTCACACAGCTAGTAAGTGGCAGAGCTGGGATTCAAATCTAAGGTTTTCTGGCTCCAGAATCTTCTCTGAAGTGAAAGGCATGAGGCCGACCACTCCCTGATCTGGTAAACAGAGATGTCAGGCTGGTTTGTAGTGTTAGGGAGTTTCCTGGGGTGATGGTACAGGGTACATTTCTGCCCTGCATCCTAAGTCCAGAGACTGGGTTCTAGGTCCAGCCTTGCGTCTAACTCCCTGAGAGATGAGAGCCTTTGGGCAAAGTCCCTCCGTGCTCTTCAGTCTGTTCATCTGTGAGATGGTGGCGTGGGAAGGGGCTGGAGTGATCTCACAGTTCTTCTCAGCCTGCGCCACGGGCTCTAGGACTCAGGTCCTGTCAGTAACCTGCTGGGGGAGGTCTGGGCCTTCCAGGAGAAACCTGACAAGATGATGCTGCAAACACGAACGGACACACTGCACTTTACATTCACAGGCTGTCTCAGGGGCCTCCAAAAACCCTGACCATTCTTGCCCCATTTTGCAGATAAAAAACTGAGGCTCGGCCGGGCGCGGTGGCTCAAGCCTGTAATCCCAGCACTTTGGGAGGCCGAGACGGGCGGATCACGAGGTCAGGAGATCGAGACCATCCTGGCTAACACGGTGAAACCCCGTCTCTACTAAAAATACAAGAAAATTAGCCGGGCGAGGTGGCGGGCGCCTGTAGTCCCAGCTACTCGGGAGGCTGAGGCAGGAGAATGGCGTGAACCCGGGGGGGGGAGCTTGCAGTGAGCCGAGATCGCGCCACTGCACTCCAGCCTGGGCAACAGAGCAAGACTCCGTCTCAAAAAAAAAAAAAAAAAAAACAAAAAACAAAACTGAGGCTCAGAGAGATTACATAACTTGCCCACAATCTTCCTCCAGCAAGATGGAGGCCAAGTGAAATGAGAAAGGTGGTCTCCCGCCACTTCCTTACCCAAGGGTCTTCTCCCCACACCAGGGCTTCCCGAGGGCTGAGATCCAGTCTCACCTGTGCGTGATCAAACGTAAGTGTGAACAATGCGAAGGGAGACGTCTTCGATCTAAGGGGCTTCAATTCTGTAATGTAATTCTGAGATTATGCCCTTTTTATGTTCAAGTCTTTCCTTTTTGAAGTGATGGTCTTTACAATATCTTTACAAGACAGAATTAAAAGTTGGCAGCTCTGAATTAGTCTCAAGAGTGTTTTGATGCAAGAGGTCTCTGAAACCTCAGTCTGGGAGCCACGGAGCGCTCTCCCCTCTCCCCAGGTTTACCAGTTTGGGAGGCTTGGAGAGAGGCCTGGAGGACCTGCTGGGGACTAAAGAAGCGCACTGGTGGGAGGACAGGACGGGGGGAAGGGGAAGGGGAGTGAAGTAGTCTCCCTGGAATGCAGGATGGTGGGGGAGGAGGTCTCCTGGGTGGAGGAGTCCCAGCGTCCCTCCACCCCCTCCTCTGCCAACACAATGGACAATGGTAACCGCCCACACACTCCCATGGAGGGGAAGGGATGAGTGCAGGGAACCCCGACCCCACCCCAGGGACCTGCAGGCCTGCAGACACTCCCCTCCCGCCCCCACTGAACCCTTGACCCCTGTCCTGCAGCCCCCGCAGCTTGCTGTTTGCCCACTCTATTTGCCCAGCCCCAAGGACAGAGCTGATCCTTGAACTCTTAAGTTCCACATTGCCAGGACCAGTGAGCAGCAACAGGGCTGGGGCTGGGCTTATCTGCCTCCCAGCCCAGCCCCTGGCTGGAGACATAAATAGGCCCCACAAGGGCTGGCTGCTTAGAGACTGCGAGAAGGAGGTGAGTCCTGCTCCCTGCTCCGGGTGACTCTGGCCCCCCAGCTCGAGGTTCAGGCCCTGCTCCAGGCCGGGCCCCTGGGTACCTGCGGTCTTCTCCCACTCCGTGCCCCTTCTCCTTACCTTGCTGCAATGAGTGGGGGAGCACGGGGCTTCTGCATGCTAGAGGCCCCCCACTCAACCAGGCCCTTCTTCTCCTCCAGGTCCCCCACGGCCCTTCAGGATGAAAGCTACGGTGCTGACCTTGGCCGTGCTCTTCCTGACGGGTAGGTGTCCCCCAGCCTAGGGAGCCAACCATCGGGGGGCTTTCTCCCCAAACCCCTGTGGCCCACCCTCCTGGGCAGAGGCAGCGCCCTCTCCCCCACCTCCAAGCTTGGCCTTTCGGCTCAGATCTCAGCCCACAGCTGGCCTGATCTGGGTCTCCCCTCCCACCCTCAGGGAGCCAGGCTCGGCATTTCTGGCAGCAAGATGAACCCCCACAGACCCCCTGGGATCGAGTGAAGGACCTGGTCACTGTGTACGTGGAAGCACTCAAAGACAGCGGCAAAGACTATGTGTCCCAGTTTGAAGGCTCCGCCTTGGGAAAACAGCTAAAGTAAGGACCCAGCCTGGGGTTGAGGGCAGGGGCAGGGGGCAGAGGCCTGTGGGAAGATGTTGAAGCCAGACTGGCCGAGTCCTCACCTACTATCTGATGAGCTGGGTCCCACAGATGGTCTGGATGGAGAAACCGGAATGGGATCCCCATGCAGGGTCACAGCCCATGCCCCCTTGCAAAGGACAGACCAGGGCTGCCCGATCTGTGATCACAGTGCCACATTGTGCCTGCAAGTGTAGCAGACCCCTTTCCCTTCTTCACCACCTCCTCTGCCCCTGCCCAGCAAGAGTGTGGGCTGTCTTCGGAGAGGCGAATGTGCTGGAGGCATAGAAGCGAGGTCCTTCAAGGGCCCACTTTGGAGACCAACGTAACTGGGCACCAGTCCCAGCTCTGTCTCCTTCTTAGCTCCTCTCTGTGCCTCGGTCCAGCTGCACAAAGGGGCATGGCCTGGCGGGGCAGGGGTTTTGGTTGAGCGTGTACTGGAAACGCTAGGCCACTGCACCTCCGCGGACAGGTGTTGCCCAGGGCTCACCCCGGTAGGCTGGGGCGCTGGGAGGCCAGCCCTCAACCCTTCTGTCTCACGCCCCAGCCTAAAGCTCCTGGACAACTGGGACAGCGTGACCTCCACCGTCAGCAAGCTGCGCGAACAGCTCGGCCCGGTGACCCAGGAGTTCTGGGATAACCTGGAAAAGGAGACAGAGGGCCTGAGGCAGGAGATGAGCAAGGATCTGGAGGAGGTGAAGGCCAAGGTGCAGCCCTACCTGGACGACTTCCAGAAGAAGTGGCAGGAGGAGATGGAGCTCTACCGCCAGAAGGTGGAGCCGCTGCGCGCGGAGCTCCACGAGGGCACGCGCCAGAAGCTGCACGAGCTGCACGAGAAACTGAGCCCGCTGGGGGAGGAGGTGCGCGACCGCGCGCGCGCCCACGTGGACGCGCTGCGCACGCATCTGGCCCCCTACAGCGATGAGCTGCGCCAGCGCCTGGCCGCGCGCCTTGAGGCGCTCAAGGAGAACGGCGGCGCCCGCCTGGCGGAGTACCACGCCAAGGCCAGCGAGCATCTGAGCACGCTCAGCGAGAAGGCCAAGCCCGCGCTCGAGGACCTCCGCCAGGGCCTGCTGCCCGTGCTGGAGAGCTTCAAGGTCAGCTTCCTGAGCGCTCTCGAGGAGTACACTAAGAAGCTCAGCACCCAGTGAGGCGCCTGCCGCCGCCCCCCTTCCCGGTGCTCAGAATAAACGTTTCCGAAGTGGGAAGCCGCTTCTTTCTTTTGGGAGAATAGAGGGGGGTGCGGGGACATCGGGGGAGCCCGGATGGGGCCTTTGGCCCTGGAGCAGGGACTTCCAGCCGGAGTTCAACAACTCCGTGCCCAGACTGGGCGTCTTAGGGCCAAGATCGACGTTGGAGGACCTGCTGGACGCCTGGCTGCTTATGAGTGAGGGAGTAGAGTCTGCCTTACCAAGGCTCAAGTAGAAAGGAAGTCACAGTGGACCAGGCAAAGCCACAGACAATCCAAGGCCAGCTGCCCTGAAAGGGACTCAGACAAGGCCTGCAGCCCTGTCTGGGGCAGGACAGGAAACAGGGTTGCTTTAGTTGCGAGCAGTGGGTTCCCCGTCCCCAGAGGTGTTCCGTACAGAGCCTTCTCCAGCCCAGTCGCTGTCAGCGGGGCGGGGCGTGGCGGGACGGAGGGGGGCGGCCTCAGGGAGTCACTGGGATTGGGGTTTGGCCCCGGGTGCAAGTGAAGTGCTTGGAGTTTGAGCGCCTCCTCCTTTATGAATTCAAAACCTCTCAAATAAACACTTCCCTTTTCTTCTCACAAGGCCAGTATCCCCCTCCCACTACTCCCATCCCACCCAGAAACAGCCGCCGCTTCCTCAGGCACGGCAGTGTAAGCCAGCCCTCCACCCGCTGTGGCTCCATGCCATGCCACCGGCTCTATGCCATGCCACCCCCTCTTTCGGCTAGCCCTGGCAGAAGCTGGCCTGAGTCAGAAAAATCACCACCACCTCTTGCAGGTACATTTTTATTTCCGAGATGCTCTCATATCTGTGATCTCACTGCATCCTTCCTTCCTCCCATCCTGGCTAGATTGCCATCAGAGGCACAGCATGGATGAGGACACTGAAGCCTGGAGATGTGACGTCGCTTGCCCAGTGAACAGCAGGATGGGCTAGGCAGTGCTTTTTAGACCCTGCACCCCTGGCCATCCATGATTATTAAAAAGAGTGTGTGGGTCAGGCACGGTGGCTCAAGCGTGTAATCCCAGCACTTTGGGAGGCTGAGGCGGACATATCACTTGAGGCCAGGAGTTTGAGACCAGCCTGGCCAATATAGTGAAACCCTGTCTCTACTAAAAATACAAAAAATCAGCTGGGCGTGGTGGCTTGCACCCGTAATCCCAGCTACTAGGGAGGCTGAGGAAGGAGAATTGCTTGAACCCAGGGGACAGAGGTCACAGCCGAAATCATGCCACCACACTCCAGCCTGGGCAACAGAGCAAGACTCCAGGTAAAAAAAAAAAAAAAAAAAAAAGAGTGTGTGGCCTGGCACTCAAGTTCACATGGGTGTGCAGGCATGCCTGTGTATTGTCACATGACCTCCCTGGTCACAGTCCCTCCTTGCACTCATGTCTGAATGTCCCCGCATGCATGCATGTAGCTTCACAGATCTGGGCAGTGCGCTTGTACAGCCTTCCCTACCCTCTCTCTGCAGGGCCTTTCGTCCACTCATGCAGGCCCTGGATAATCTGCCCATATCCATGTTCCCATCTCCAGTGTATCTTAACTACCCCCTGGGTAAAGGAGTGGGCGTTTTAGTTCCTAACCTTCCAGAGCTACAACAGCAGTCATCCAGCCAGGTCTGGGTGGGAACATTTTCCAGATACGGGTGCTAAGATCTGGGCCCAGAGAGAAGCCCTGGGGAATTTCCAGAAGAAAGCAGTCTCCAGGTGGGGCTGGATACACCGATGCCACTGAGATCTGTAAAGGAGTCCCTAACACCTGACACAGGAGCGACAAAACTGTTTTCTGCACCAACTGAGCAGAATACTCGCAACTGACCTGGGCTCAAGGTCTGGCCCTGCCACGTGCTGGCTCTGTGATGCTGGCCAAGTGCCTTTGTCTCTCTGGGCCACAGTTTTTTCATCTGAAGAGTGGAGCCCTACTCAAGCCATCTGCAGCTCTGGGGCTCTCTGACCTAACATCTTTTGGGTGGTGGGGACACAAAGGAAGCAGCCTTTGTTGGGGAGATCTTGTGCTCCTTTTTGGATCCCAGGACACCGCCCCCCGCCACTCCAGTCCAGGTCCCAAGGGCCCAGTCAGCTCAACTGTAATGATGACAACATTGATCAGGCATCTTTACACGCAGGTGCTGTGCCAAACGGTTCGAACGCTCTCTCATTTCAATCTCATGGCAGGCCTACGGTGGAGAGGATATGGTTGTATCCACTTTACATGTAAGAAACTGAGGCTGATACCAAGGGGTGGAGCTAAGACTAGCGCCTCGTTGCATCTTACTCCAACCTCTAGCGCATCCGGCCTCCTCCCCTCCCCTGTGCCTAAGAGGGCCAGGTGGCCTGGATAGGGGAGGTCAGCTCCACGGTTTTAAGTGAACACACACAGTCTCAACTCTGATGATGACTTAAGTACCAGGCATAGTGGCGGGCATACGGCACACACTCAGGTCATGTTGTGCAGCACCTAACAGTTTATCAAAGTATCAGCAAGCTTATTGTCCGGTTTGACCTTCCGCACAAACCTGTCAAGGAAGGCAGGGTACGGAAGGTGATTCCTACCTTAGAGATGGAGAAACTGAGGCCCAGAGACTGCCCAGCTACCAGAAGGTGGATAGAGCGCTGGTCCCCAGGCCTGCCTGACCTGTAGTCCGTCCAGTGCCTACCCACAGAACAGCCTCGGCCCTTTCCCATACCCAGACACAGATGGCACACTTGTGACGGCCCACTCATAGCAGCTTCTTGTCCAGCTTTATTGGGAGGACACCCTGCCTGGAGGGGGGCCAGGCATGAGGTGCGGTAGGAGGGCACTGAGAATACTGTCCCTTTTAAGCAACCTACAGGGGCAGCCCTGGAGGCTGCAGGACCCAAGGAGCTGGCAGGATGGACAGGCAGGTGGACTTGGGGTATTGAGGTCTCAGGCAGCCTCAGCCAGAGTGGGTCTGGCCTCAGGGTTCAAATCCCAGAACCCAGATAACTTGTCCTTAACGGTGCTCCAGTAGTCTTTCAGGGAACTGAAGCCATCGGTCACCCAGCCTCTAAATCAGTAAGGGGAAGCAACAGAGCAGGGCATGAGAACTCCTTTGGAGGCAACTATGGGACCCACACCCATGTCCCCACTGGCTCTCCCTGCCACCCTCTCAACTTCACTGGACAACAGCCCTGAGACCTCAGGCAGGACTGCCCCACAGCTGCCACCCTGGGAGAAGAGATGCCCTTACAGGAACCCCAGCACAAGTCGAACCCTGCCGTCTCCAGGTCACCTCAGATGTTTTTGCCCCTGGGCTTGAGGCACAGAGTGACAGGGTGGGGAGATGTGAAAGGTCAAGGCTGTCATTGTTTTCTGTGCAAACAGTATCCCCTGGAGTTGTACATCCTGGTTCTGCGCAGGGTAGGACAGAGGGAGGCAACCTCTCATTTGGAAAGTCATTGGAGGATTGATTAGTTGTGTGATCTGGGGCAGGTCACCTAATCGCTCTGAGCCTCAATTTTCTCATCTGCAAAGTGGGAAAATAACACCTACCCCAAAGCCGGTTCTGAGGATTAAGAATGCTTATAAACAACCTCTGCTATGCCAGCCAATGCCAGTCAGGGTGAGGTGGGGAAGGGAGTAGGGAGAGGAGAGGACCGATGGGCAGGGGCAGGATGGGAGAGGAAGGACACACTTCTGCTCACCCTGGCCCCAGGTCTTGGAACAAAGCAGAAGCGCTCTCATACCCAGGCTAGAATTGGGCCAGGTGGGGCCTCCCAAGGCAAACCCCTAGCCCAGGAGTCCCCAGCCCCCAAGTCACAGATGGGTACTGGTCCATGGCCTGTTAGGAGCCGGGCTGCACAGCACAAAGTGAGTGACGGGTGACAGAGGAATACCGCCCGAGCCCCGCCTTCTGTCAGATTAGGCGGCATTAGATTCTCACAGGAGTGTGAAACCTATTGTGAACTGCGCATGCCAGCGGTCGCGGTGGAGGGCTTCTTATAAGAATCCAATGCCTGGTGATCGGAGGTGGAGCAGTTTCATCCCCAAGCCATCCCCGCTGACCCATGGAAAAACTGTCTACCACAAAACTGGTCCCTGGTGCCAAAAAGGTTGAGGACCACTGCTCTAGCCAGACCTTCAGAAAAGGAAAATGGGGTCAGGCGCAGTGGCTCATGCCTGTAATCCCAGCAATTTGGGAGGCCAAGGTAGGCAGATCACCTGAGGTCAGGAGTTCAAGACCAGCCTGTCCAACATGGGGAAACCCCGTCTCTGAGAAAAATACAAAAAGTAGCTGGGTGTGGTGGCACGCCTGTAATCCCAGCTACTTGGGAGGCTGAGGCAGAAGAATGGGGTGAACCTGGGAGGCAGAGGTTGCAGTGAGCCGAGATCACCGAGATCGCACCACTGCACTCTAGCCTGGGTGACAGAGGGAGACTCCATCTCAAAAAAAAAAAAAAAAAAAAAAGAAAGAAAAGAAAAGAAAAAGAAAGAAAAGGAAAGGAAAATGGAAACGAGGGCTAAAATGGCCCACCCTAGAACTGCTCTGGGGAGAAAGGAGGGACCCGGGAGGAACGCAGTCTCAACTCTGTCGTCTCTCCCACAGCAGCCTGACAAAGGCCCTGTGAGGAAAGAGGAGGCCAAAGAGGCACAGGACCAGGGGAGGCTGGCACCTCCATTCCATTGCTGGGATCTCACCAGGGCAGGGCGGGTGGGAATGGAGGGAGCTGGCATAAGGGATGGGGAGGGAGGCCAGCGGGTGTACCTGGCCTGCTGGGCCACCTGGGACTCCTGGACGCTGGTCAGTGCATCCTTGGCAGTCTTGGTGGCATGCTGCATGTAGCCCTGCATGAAGCCAAGAAGGGAGGTGTCCTCGGCCTCTGAAGCTCCTGAGGAAAGAGCAGGGCTGAGTGTGGTGGATCGGCCTCTAGGCGAGCCCTGAGCTCCTGCTTGACCACCCATTAGGACTGGGATCCCCAAGCCACCTCCATCCTGCCCCCAGCCCAGTCCCACCAAGTGCTTACTGGCAGAGGCCAGGAGTGACAGCAGGGCAGCAACAAGGAGTACCCGGGGCTGCATGGTGCCTCTGTTCCTGCAAGGAATTGTCCTGTGAGGGGCACCCCAGGCCCCCATGCCTCTGGACCCCTCCCTGGACAGGTGGCATGGCCCCTAAGGTGGGACCTGAGCTGGGTCTGCCAGAGGGAGTAGGGGCCTGCTTCCTGCTAATACGGGCTCTCAGAAGGGGGACTAGTGAGGGGCCCAAAGGGAGGTAGGTGGGATGGAGCAGAAAACCCACCAGACTGGACATCAAGGCACCTGCGGTCTGGACTGGTCTCTGTCCAGTGCAGCCAACATGCTGTGTGACTTTGGGGGCTTTCTGGCCCTCTCCAGGCCTCAGTTTCCCTGTCTGGGTAGGACTGGGCTGTCTAAGGCTTCCTCCAGCCCTAAGCCTGCAGAATGACGGGAAAGCCTGCACTTGGAACCATTTCCAGCCCCACCCCCTGTGTAGCTTTGGGCAAGTGACACCCCTCCCGGGCCTCCATTTTCTTCAGGTTATGATGAGGGGTGGGGGGCACCCGTCCAGCTCCGAGGCTTCCTTAGCTCTAGCAAGTGTTTCTCCAGGCTTGCTGGCTGGGCTGGGCAGGGAGCTCCTCTTGCTCCTCTTCATCCTCCTCCCCTCCTCTTTCCCCTCCCCAGAGGGCATTACCTGGAGCAGCTGCCTCTAGGGATGAACAGAGCAGGCAGGCAGGAGGGTTCTGACCTGTTTTATATTGTCTCCAGGGCAGCAGGCACTGAGGACCCAGGGCACTGGGCAAAGGTCACCTGCTGATCAGAGACCAGGGCCTGAGGCAGGGCGGCCAGAGGCAGCAAGCTGGCGGGAGAGTTGGGAAATCCCCAGGAGACTGTGTCCATGCTGCTGTCCCGCCAGCCCTGCAGCCCAGATGAGCTCAGGAACTAGGGGTGGGCCTGGGGTACCCCCATTCCTTCCTAGCTGACTGGCTCCCCAGGGAGAGACTGGTGAGAGGGGGAACGGCTTGGACATAGGCCAGGGGCCTCGGGCTCATCTCGGCCCTTCACACTGGAATTTTAGGCCCCTGCCTCCGCCAGCCCCAAGCCCTGAACACAGCCTGGAGTAGAGGGGTGAGGAACTTCTTCAGATTTAAGAACAAGCGGGTGGGTTGGGCTGGGGGGTGCCTGGAGTAAAGGCACGGAAGACCAGGCAGCAGTGGCTCCTGCGGGCCTGGTGACAGGGCTGAGCCCTCACAGCTCCTCCCAGCACCTCCATCTGTGGGTTTCAATCCAGGCAGGTGAGCACTGCTCACCCAGCAGCCCCCACCCGCCCCCACCCCTGTGTGCCCCACCACTGCCCCCTCCTGAGTGCAGGGCAGGGGTCGGTGGGGAAGGGCCAAGGTCACTCAGAGCCCAAGGCCTTTGTCCCTCCCTCCACCAGGTTCCCTATTTTGCCCTCTGGACCCACTGATAACATCCCCTGGGGGAGGAGCTGGTCTCATGGCTCGGGCCCTCCCCAGCCTCCACCAGGATTGATTCTCTCGTTCACCTTCCTGGGTTCCTCAGTGGGGTTGGGGGAAGAGCAGCCCTCACTGCCCCCTGGCTGTGGGAGCAACTGGGAGGAACAAGGTCTGGTGAGGAGAGGGCACAGAGGAGTTCTGTCGGGCGTCAGTGGTCCAGGAGGGGCGGCTGACCCTTCTCGGGGCTGAGATGTCCCCTGGGCCCACAGTGAAGCTGCAGCAGGGATGGCAGGATGAGGGGGCCTGTCTTCCACATGCTGAGACCTTGAAGCCAGGACATCTTAGGCTTAAATGATGCCTTTGGCACTTAATATGACCCAGGCCACAAAGATAACATATCAGAGCCTCAATTTTCTGAGGATAAAATGGGGCTAAAATACTGACTTCCCAGAGTGGTGCTGAAAAGGAAATGAGACAGAGAAGTACAAAGCAGTGGGACCACGGAGGGACTCACACCTCCCTCTCCCTCCCAATGCTGTGCCCTTCCCAGACAGCAGAGTCTGCAGGCAGCAGGAGCCTCTAACATAAAAAATAGAGCTCTGGCAGCAAGTCGTCCTCTCAGAAGTAACTAACACCACAGTATGAAATCAGAGGCCTGAGAAAGTGGCCCGGCTCTGCCCTCAGAATTCTTTATCGGTGGGTGAGACTTGGAATTACTCTGGTAGGGATTCATTCCTGGCTGCACACAGTGGCTCATGCCTGTAATCCCAGCAATTTGGGAGGCTGAGATGGGCGGATACCTGAGGCGAGGAGTTTCAGACCAGCCTGGGCAACATGGCCAAACCCAGTCTCTACTAAAAATACAAAAAATTAGCTGGGCATGGTGACACCTGTAGTCCCAGCTACTCAGGAGGCTGAGGCACGAGAATTGCTTGAACCCCGGAAGTGGAGGTTGCAGTGAGCCAAGATCGCGCCATTGCACTCCAATGACAGAGCTAGACTTGGTCTAAAAAAAAAGAGAGAGATTCATTCCTTTGACTTAAGACTTTGTTTTCTGTTAAAATGCAAATAGAATCCTGTGAAGTAGACATTAACTCCATTTTATAGGTTGTAAATCTAAGGCTCTAAGGGCTCCAAGTGCACAGCCCATTAGTAGTAAGGCTGGGAGCCTTAATCCAGGTCTTCACACACACCAGGCAAATACCAGACGGCCTAGAGCACTGAGACCCCTATAGACGCATCAGTCACATGCCCTGAACAAATCCGTCTCAAGTCTCCTGCAGACTTTGATGATGGGGTAGAAGGCGAGGAGGTGGTCACTGAAGGCTGCAGGCTTTGGTGATGGGGTAGAAGGCGAGGAGGTGGTCACTGAAGGCTGCAGGCTTTGGTGATGGGGTAGAAGGCGAGGAGGTGGTCACTGGAGGATTTGGTATTGGGGACGCCCTTTCCTGTTCTGCTGTGGCCTGCTCCGTAGCCCCAGAGGTAAAGGCACAGTGGGGGACCCAGATCCAGGCAGGGGCGGGCAACAAGGTCCATGGGCCCGGGCAGGCTAAAATGGGCTGGCAGGGTCCCGTGGCCCCAGATCCTCCAAGCCCTTCCACCTGTGCAGAGGGTATGGAGGAGCCTGGCCTCTCTCTCTTGCATGGCAGTGGACCCAGGGAGGTCAGGACATGTGGGCAGAGAGACCTGCTGCCTCTAGGGATGAACCCAGAGCAGGCAGGCAGGAGGGGTTCTGACCCTGTTTTATATTGTCTCCAGGGCAGCAGAGCTACTGAGGAACCCAGGGCACTGGCAAAGTCACCTGCGGATCAGAGACCCAGGGCCTGAGGTCAGGGCGGCCAGAGGCAGCAAGCTGGCGGTAGAGTTGGGGAAATCCCCAGGAGACTGTGTCCATGCTGCTGTCCCGCGCACCCTGCAGCCAGATGAGCTCAGGAACTAGGGGTGGGCCTGGGTCCCATTCCCTTCCTAGCTGACTGGCTCCCCAGGAGAGCTGGTGAGAGGGGGATACGGGCTGGACTATTAGCCAGGGGCCGTCGGGCCTCATCTGCGCCTATCACACCTGGAATGTTTATAGGCCCTCCCTGCCCGCCGAGCCCCAAGCCGCTTGAACACGCCTGGACGTTAGAGGTTGTGATGGAACTTCTATCAGAATTTAAGAACAAAGCGGGTGTTGGGGCCTGGGGGTGTGCCTGGATGTAAAGGCACGGAAGACAGGCAGCAGGGCTCCTGCGGGGCCTGGTGGGCAAGAGGCTGAGCCTCACAGCTCCTCACCAGCACCTCCCATCGTGGTTTCATCCAGGCAGGTGGAGCGACTGTACCCAGCAGCCCACCCGCCCCACCCTGTGTTGCCCCACCACTGCCCCCTCCTGAGTGCAGGGCAGGGGTCGGGTGGGGAAGGGCCAAGGTCACGCTCAGAGCCCAAGGCCTTTGTCCTCCCTCCACCAGGTTCCGTATTTTGCCCTCTGACCACCTGGATAACATTCCCCTGGGGAGGAGCTGGTCCATGGCTCGGCGCCCTCCCCAGCCTCCACCAGGATTGATTCTCTTAGTTCACCTTCCTGGGTTCCTCAGTGGTTAGGGGAAGAGCAAGCCCTTCACTTGCCCCCTGGCTGTGGAGCTAACTGGGAGGAACAAGGGTCTGGAGAGAGGCACAGAGGGAGTTCTGGTCGGGGTCAGTGGTCCAGGAGGGGCGGCTGGACCGCTTCTCGGGGCTGAGATGTTCCCCTGGGCCCACAGTGAATGCCGCAGCAGGTGATGGCAGGAGAAGGGCCTCTTCTCCACCTGCTTGGAGACTGAAGCCAGGACATTCTTAGGCTTAAGATGATGCTTTGGCACTTAATATGACCCAGGCCACAAAGATAACATCTCAGAGCCTCAATTTTCTGGAGGATAAAATGGGGCTAAATACCTGACTTCCCAGAGTGGGTGCTGAAAAGGAAATGAGACAGAGAAGTACAAAGCAGTGGGACCCGGAGGGACTCAACACCTCCTCTCCTCCCAATGCTGTGCCCTTCCCAGACAGCAGAGTTGCAGCAGCAGGAGCCTCTAACATAAAAAATAGAGCTCTGCGCAGCAAGTCGTCTCTCAGAAGTAACTAACACCACAGTATGAAATCAGAGGCCTGAGAAAGTGGCCCGGCTCTGCCTCAGAATTCTTTATCGTGGGGTTGGA